TATATATAATATTAGTGAGAGAGAGATTATACAATGTTAAATGAAGCAACTAAAGTTTTAAAAAACTGAAGGGACAACCCCAGGAGGGAGACCAAAGAGTTGTGTTTTTTCTTACTGCTCTTTAAATTGACGACCTTATTTAACAAAATCCTGTTTTGTCATGAACTGAAAATAATAAGTACAAACTTTTAACGTTATACCTGTTTTCAAATTGTCCCAAATCATCAGTATCTGTCTACATGTGTTTGTTGAATACAGACAAATTAGTCGCGGTTTTTTTTTTAACTTAGCAGTAAAGTTGTGGGCCATGTCTCTGAGATGGAATATTTACAAAATCTGAGCTAAATTTGCAAATACTTGGTTTTTTTCACTCAAACCTCAGCCTAGGACAAGGCGTGTCCCTCTACATTGTCCCTCTGTGTGGAAGTCCCTCCCTCCCACTGTATTCTAGAGAGGCCTCTAGTTTTGACTGCATTTACATATGGTCTAAAAATACATTTATTAAAATTGTTAGTCTGATCCTCTTTCTAGCATAGCACAAGTAAGATCAGCAGCCTCAGTCACTGTTTTTTTCTCTGTGTGTTCTTGTTCATATTTAGGTGTTGTTTTAAAAAATTATTGCGTTTTGAATGGACTGGTATTCATCCTATGTAAATTTAGATCAAATTTTACTGTGAAGTGTTTAGAGCCTCCAGGGAGTGGGCACTTTCGAAGTGATTTTTCTTATTATAATTTGGTTTTTTCTGTACTTTACCTAATTTCTTTCTTCACCTCCCCCTCCCCTCCCTCCAGCAAAATCGTGTCTTCCCTTCCCTCATCCTCCATCCTGCTGTCTGCGCGGGCGGTGACCTTTGACCCGGCGGGTGCAGAGGTCAAGGTGGAGCTGTTGCTGACCCCTGAGGTGGTGGTGGTGGTGAGCCTGGAGGAAGACGCTACGCAGCAGACACTGGCCTTGTCCGAGCTGGAGTGTGGGCGGGGCTTGTCCTCTGGGGGCGGGGCCGGGGGCGTGGTGCTTACCTGGCAGGATCAGTTCTACTGTAGCACCGTCATGGAGGTGAGTGGTGGTGGTGTGTGGGCGGGGCCTGCTGTCATCTGGGGGCGGGGCGATCAGTTCTACTGTAGCACCGTCATGGAGGTGAGTGGTGGTGGTGTGTGGGCGGGGCCTGCTGTCATCTGGGGGCGGGGCGATCAGTTCTACTGTAGCACCGTCATGGAGGTGAGTGGTGGTGGTGT